TAAATGAAGTATATGTTTGAGTCTGAGACTTAACTTCAAAAAATTAAAATAAAAAGTTAATAGTTATCGATAAAATGTAACTAAATAAAGTTAAAAAGTTAAGAGTCTAAAATGTAACTAAGTTAAATTAAAATTATTTAACTTTTCAACTTTTTAACTTAACTTTTAGTTTTTTAACTTGGCACTACCCAACCCTGCATATACTTATATACATACATCAGACTCCGTTGCTTCAAGAAGCACATATCCCAAAAAAAATATTTAATACTTGAAATAAGAAAACGATAATGTGATATCGCAATATGTAAACGGCCGACTATTTTATCGTTTCACCTCGATTTATCTTGCGGTGATATGTGTCATTGATATCGTGTAGGTACCCATAAACTTTGACGCGCTTATTGGAAAAAATAAGACGATAATCTACAATCTGTACGAAGAGTACATAAGTTCTTTATCATTTTTGTTGTAAGTTGTTACGCAAAATCTCGGACAAAGACATATGGTAAACATTGGCGAATCAGTTTGCAATTCTGTGAATCAACGATAAGTGTAATTAATTCTATTTGTCTTAACGCGACTTCAAATGTATGAACACATTGAATTGTAACCGTATACATATCTTTTTTTAAATTTATTTAACAACTTAAAAATTATTGCTATAAAATTGCAATTTTCTTTGTCCTAAAAAAAAACTATTACTCAATAGGGATTCAACATTACTATGGTAACCATGACCTTATTACGCTATTAGATGACACGGATCATTGTGTCATCTAACCTTAGAACACATTGTGAAAATGTAAATTTAGAATTCTCAGTTAGGAAATACAATTTCCTCTGTTCTTTATTCTTTATTTATATGTAATTTTTCTCTCGTGCGATTTATTATAAATCAATTAAAATAAATAAATCATAGAATAAATAATTTTTCAATTGTATGTGTGTATTATACATATACATGCATATAAGAAATATTTTTTCTCATCATGTTATGTAAAATAATACATTCGGAAAAAATTACTAATCCATAATTTTTAAATAGTGATTGTCTCGGATTACATCTCGTAAAAATTAGAAAGCAAATGTAGTGACAATTAACCAAGCATTTGAAATACATTATACGAATGCATCTCCGAAATATAAAGTTTCGAAATATAAAGTTTCCGAAATAAAAAGACTCTTTGATAAATTTTACAATCGCTGCTCATGTGACGGTGATGAAAATTCGTTAAAATAAAGAACAAGTAAGTAAATACAATTTATAGATTCTATATACATAATATTACGTATAGATTAAATCCTTTTTTTCTCCGTGTCTCTATCTCTTACGCTCTCACACAAATACGATTATATAATTTATATTATTTTGCTTACTATTTCTGAACGATGACCTACCCAATACTTTAATCTACATTGGTCGTGTCGTAGCGCCGCGAGCATCGTAAGCGTCGTGCGACTTTAAAATTGACGCATCGGATTGGCTGATGCAACAAGCTTGTAACCTGCAACGCCTACAATACGACCAATGTAGAATGGGAATCTAACGTATTTAACACGCGTTCGTCGTAGATTCGTCAGATTCATAAAGATTTTATTTGGCTCGAAAGAAACAAAAGATTCTCTTTCACACATTTGTTGAAAAATTAACAGTAATTGAACAAGTTTGAGCTCTTTTCTGACAATCTCAGTGCCAATGAAGCAGCGTGGATAATAACTTGTGCGAAAAAGTAAATAAACTCGGGCATCGTATGACGATTGCATAAAGTTAAGAGAAAATAATAAAATATATGTCCGGGTTCTACAATGAGTCGGTGTAGTCGATAGTCCTATGTCTTATGGGTGAATCAGTCAAGTTGGACAACAGCCAACTTGTACGATTATCAATTTTCTTAAAACTGGTCAAATTCAATTTTTTTCCTTCTGATTGGTCGAACCAAACGACTCACTGTACAACTGACTCGAATTATGAATGCGAAAAATCGTAGTCGCACCTATTTAGATTAAAATTTAGGACTTTCGACTACCCCCCGACTACCGATTTACCGATTGTAAATCCAGTGTAACATTATTTATGCAAAGTTTCGCATAAATAATGTCGTTTCTAAACAATTAATAAACAAGAAGAGCATATGTTTCTATAACAATGAGTCATGCACATGCATATAAATATTGCACTTTTTGGCAAGTAATTTAAAATAAATCAGGTTTGAATATTTTACTTTTATTCACGTATTATTATTTATTTATCTAATAGATGTGTTATTCGATCATTTGAAATTTATTTCTGATTGCGCAACGATACTTTTGTATTATAATCATTATGCGTTTGACTGGATTCCCATATGAATTAAACTTAAAATCTCGATACATTTAACATGTAATTACTGTTTATTTTTTAAAATTAAAATTATGAAATATAAAAATATATATATGTGTAAGTAGTTACACAGTGTCTGCTGCATTCATCGGTCGATAATCGATGAAATATCCAATAGAACGTTGACTGAAATATTGAATATTTTTAAGTATTCGTCTAGGGTCTCGTTGAATAAATATATGTGTATATGTATATACTCTCTCTTATGGCGCGATATCGATATTCGTTTCTTGTGCTATACACAATTATAATCTTTGAGAGAGATTACATAAAATAGCGTGCGCAAAAAATTACGCTGTGTAAAGTAAGAAATTATATATACTTGCTCGATTAAACTACTTGCGGTCTGATGTGAGATATCCACGCACTAGCACATAAATATGCGCTGAGTATCAGTAATTCTCGATATTTTGATAACACATAGAAACAAATTTCTTTTCTTCTTCAACGTTAACAATATTTAATACATCAAAATTATCTCTCTCCCTCTCTTCCTTTCTCTCTCTCTAATAATGTATCTCTTTATACATATCTGTTGTAGAAATAATTTAAAATTTATTCATTTATTTTTGTTTTACTATACATATACTTACACGTATATAAATGATAACGTCAACGTTTATTAAAACATTATACTGCGCATTGCCTTTTGGATTATACAAAACAAGGCATATCAATTCGAGAAAGCGAATTCGCATTCCGCAAGGGGACAGATTACGTCATCGTTATAATTGTAGATGTAGTCGTGCATCTCTCAGTGAATTAAATGGCGAAGCTGTAGCTTCGATGAAATCTGTGATGAATATATGGTTCAGAAGAGACGGGTCGTCTTCCTAGAATCATTCTCATGATGTCCGCTTCATATACTGCTATTATAGTATCGTTAATTCATTTGCGATCTATGTTATTAATATGAGCCCTCGCGACGTTGAACGAATAAATCACCAATATTCATATGCATCGACGCACTTATATGTATATGCAATATATATTTCTCGAAGTTTGCTTCACATTTCATAACTGATACAGTCAACGTTAACGCGATATTTTATTAAGGTCTCGTTTAAAGTATATCATTTAACTACCGTGAAATGTGAAATTGTCTGCAGAGTAATTCAACGTCAGAGTAAAGGAATTGAAGCTAATTACTGGAATCGCTTTCTTTCGTACGAAATGACACTATAATTTTTTATTTCATTATAATTGCCATGTACATGCGCGCGCGCGTGTGCGTAACTAATAATGTTTACTAGTATCTAGATAATCTCTTATCAAAGTAATTAGATCTTCATCTTAAATAATTTGAAAAAAGATATTACATTTTATCTAAGATACAGCTAAAGATAATATACATATGTTCTAATAAAGATAAGATGACGCCATCTAGATTATCTAAAACGTAAAAAATGTAAACGTTTATATCAACAGCCATTATTCGACATTGTATATCGATGCCTGAGCTGTAGAAGATGCTATATCGAAAAACACATGAAGAAAGGTCTATGTGAAAAAATGAATGAAAAGTGGTCTATTTCGGAACGTATACGGAAGTACAGTTTACATCGAGAAAGTGAGAAGAACGGTTTATAATTTATATAATTTGTATACCTTCAATGAGACATATTTTAATTCAATAATCTTTTTTAATAAGCAAATTGAAATGTGGAAGAATCTAACTCGATCACTAATCAATATCTATTTATATAATGGATAAATCAGTCCATCTATCGATGAAATAATAATGATTGTTATTTACTTGGTCTTATATTTCAAAAAGTGCTTACGAATACTTTTGCTCATTTCACTAAACGAGTAGGCGCAGAGAAATAGATTTATATAACTACGATATTCTCGCCCACACACGAAACTCCGTGTTCCAGATATTTTTATGTCGTATTTAGCGTAGAGAAAGCAACCGAAATGATTATTAGATCTACAATCTGAGATTGTATGAAATAAATAAAAAATGATGATATTATCGAATTTACTTCTATCAATTGTCGGGAAAATAAACGCGAATATAAATCTCTGATTTCCCCCTTGTAATATGCTTTTATAATAATCAATTACGTTATTCGAATGATACAATTGTGAGTAATAACGAGTAATTTTAATAATGTCCTTCCTCTTTGCGAGAAAGGTAATCTCATACACTCCCATCCCGAAGCTCGAAATTCTTTCAGAGATCTCCGATTTAACAGCATCGCGGAAGTGCGCGCGGGATCATTTCACGGACACAAGCAATTGCATACCTTGCTACTGAACGACAACCACATTCGACGGCTGCCGGTAGGCGCGTTCGAGGGCGCACCGAATCTACGGATACTTTACTTGTACAAAAATCGCATCGAGCACATCGCGCCGGGCGCGTTCGCGGGGTTGCCACGGCTCGAACAGTTGTACCTGCACCACAACCATCTGCGGGAGATCCGACCGGGCACGTTCAACAATCTGCCGGTGCTCGAGCGTCTATTTCTGCACAGCAACAAGCTCCATCGGTTGCCGGCGAATGCGTTCGTCAACGTTGGTCCGATGACGCGGCTGCGTCTCGACAGCAACGCGCTCATCTGCGATTGTAATCTGGTCTGGCTGGTGGAACGCCTTCAGGACAAGCCTACGGAGATGGCGGCAATTTGCCAATCTCCACACGAGATGAAGGGTCGTTCCCTAACTACAATGTTGCCCGAGGACTTTCATTGCAGTTGAGTAAAAGCACGCGTATGCCGAGAGTAGGAGAGAGTATACGATTTATACATATACATCTATCATTCAAGGGCAATAGACTGCAGATATATTACATTAGGCAGTTCGTTTCAAGAACAGTTTTCGATATATTTTACAAGAATCTATCGGATCTATCTATTGTATTGTTTTATTTTTATATTAGGTATCTAATATTAATATTAATATTTTGCAAGAATTTTTATTGTATACCTTCTCGTTTCTCGTGTCATAATCTAAGAGAATAAGTTAAGATATAGTGAAAGAATGGAACTCTTAAGCTTATAGTAAAAAAATTTTTCAAGTCCTTATAATTTTTCAAAAACAAAGAATATTCCCCAGTTATTTCTCTTTTAGTCGACTTTGGAATACTTTGCTAGGAAACAGCTTTATTCTTTCATTGTTCTTTTCGTTATACTCATTATTGTATATTACATATCAATTACACATTATGACATTATCACTGATACAACTTAATGCCGATTACGTCGTTGTGGTCATTGACACGTCGGCCATTGCGCTGCTCTGCATCTCATGTGATGATGGCTCTCGCTAGAATGATCCGTGTGTCTCTATTGCGTGATCCTTCATTATATCGAAACTTTCAATCGACTGATTGTCGCTCATTAATTCAAAAATTTTAAGCTTTCAAATCGATGGTAATGGAGCGGTAGCAATTCTAAAACTATATACTTACTTACAGTTAGTAATATTAATGTGCAGACTATCAATTCGTAGAGAATTATACATATTTAGAGTCTTTTATATAATAAATAAATCATCATATGATCCTCTTCGTGTTATTCGTACGAGCTCGCAATGGATAGAAAAAGTTCAATGTGGCAAAGGCAGATAAAATAAATAGATAAATGCGACGCGATATATTATACATACGAGTATGTATCGCAAAATTAGAGAAGATGTAAAAAAAAAAAGAAGAAATGAGAGGAACACGCGATAAAATAAATAATCTCATATTCATTAATTTAATTTTTTCTCAAAATTTTCGTCGTAATAGAAGATTCTTTTTGCAGCAAAACCACGTATCGTAGAAGGTCCGGAAGACACCGTGGTGCGATTTGGTGACACGATAACGTTGACGTGTCGAGTAACAGGTGATCCGACACCAAAGATCAAATGGATGAAGAATACAAGATATTCGTGGGAGGCGGATGACGATGAGGAAAAGTACGTAATTCGTGAGGACGGCGAAAAGTATGTGATTCGCGAGGACGGCACCTTGGTGATCTCTGGCACGACCGAGCAAGACGGTGGGATGTACGAGTGCGTAGCTAGCAGCGATATGGGTTCGGCCAAATCCAGAAAGGCCAGAGCAGTGATTACAGCGGCGTCTCAGTTGATACTCGCTGAAAGACCAGAATCCCAAAATGTTACCGCCGGTACCAACGTGACCTTCTCTTGTCGAGCACTGGATAATCCTAGACCCGATACTCGCTGGTTCAAAGACGGCCGATCGATCCCCTTTAACGACAGAATCTCGCTCGCGAACGACGGCACGTTGTTACACATCCTCGCGGTTAAGGAAACCGATGCGGGCAAATACGAGTGTTATCTTAGGAGCACCGATCACACGGTTCATCTCTTCGCAGATTTGAACGTTGTAGATTTGACGGCGCCTCGATTGCTATTCAGACCACAAGACATCGAGGTGGAACCGAATGCCATTGTCGAGGTACCCTGCCGGGCTGAGGGTATCCCGAAGCCAGTGATACAATGGAAGAAGGACGGTAGCGCGCTCGAGGGTAACAGGGTCAAGATCACACGCGGAGGAAGTCTTCTTATTTTTAACGTGACTCCGCAAGACTCCGGCAGGTAAGATTGAAACGCTATAGCATGACCGAGAGCGGTCATTAACTATCATCTTTATTTTCAATGAGGAGATTAAACGAGTTCTTTTTGTGAATGTGTGCGTAGAAATCATTTCTCACGTGTGACGCACATCTTTTTTTAAGATTATAAGAAACAAATAATTAGTAAATTTGAAAAAATAATTCATGTTATACAATATTATGATTATATTAATTCGGTGCGATTTCAGTGTCAATTTCTTTGGATACGTTGTTAATCTACAATAATATAAAAATCGAAATCGTGCTTTCATCGCATCTATCGATCCTGTGCACAACGATCATCTTCCTTTCGCAGGTACGAGTGTTCAGCTGTAAACGATTATGGCCGCGCAACCGGCGATGCTTTGGTGCGCGTTCGGCAGCCCGGTGCAACAACGGATACACTCGTCATACGAGCCTTCCAAAGTGCCACCGAGGAGATCGATCGTGCCATTAATAAAACGCTATCGTCTCTCTTTAATTCCGACGGCTCATCGAAACACGTTGATCCGTTCCGTTTAACACGGTTTCCGAACGCGATCGATCGCGCGGCCGCTAGACCCGCCGAGCTCTTCGAAAGAACTCTCATCAATATTCGACGTATGGTGGATACCGGCAATAAAGCAAACGTGACTGGTGAATTCCGCTACGAGGAAATCTTGACAGCTGAACAGGTAAAGTTGAATGATCATCAAGCGTGTACTACTATCATATACTACGTATGTATACATGTATATCAGCTGAAATTACGCTGCGCGTCCCGTGTCGCAGGTGAAGGAAATCGAACGATTGTCCGGGTGCACCGGTCATAGACGTCGGCAGAATTGCACCAATAGGTGCTTCCATCGCAAATACCGGGCTATAGACGGCAGTTGCAATAATCTGCGTCATCCTACTTGGGGTTCGTCGCATACAGGATTCCGGAGGGTACTGCAACCCATCTACGAGAATGGATTCTCGATGCCGGTCGGTTGGGAGAAGGGACGACGATACTACGGTTATCCGAAGCCCGCTGCACGTCTCGTGTCGACCACGCTAATCTCTACCCATACAATTACGTCGGACGATCAGATTAGCCACATGGTGATGCAGTGGGGTCAGTTCCTGGACCATGATCTCGATCACGCGTTACCGTCGGTATCGAGCGAATCGTGGGATGGAATAGACTGCAAGAAATCCTGCGACAACGCCGCACCTTGCTTCCCGATGGAAGTGCCGCCAGGTGATCCGCGCATCAGCAATAGACGGTGCATCGACTTTATCAGAACTAGCGCCGTCTGCGGTTCTGGCGCGACCAGTATACTGTGGGGCGGCTTGATGCCGCGGGAACAGCTGAATCAATTAACCAGCTATTTGGACGCGTCGCAGG